GACCCCCCCAAGTGCGTAGCGCCTTTGACGTTTTATGACTGATGTTTGAAAAATCCTAGATCCGCCCCTGGTTATGAAATATTTTTTCTGGTAAGTACTATCATCTTGCATAGAGGTGTTTTTGAAAGGTAACAATCCTTGATTTTCCAATGAATAGAACAAAACAATTGTAACAAAAAATATTTCTAAAACTATTAACAATCGTTAACTGCCTTTAACTTACTTTAACATATTCAAAAAGCATACATTCCCCAGGAATCTATTTACAAATGTTTGACTTAAACGTTACAGCGTTCCCATGATCTGTCAAAAGGATATGCAGACAAAACTAGTTTGCTCTTTTCAAGGGCAACCCTTGCGTAATGTGTAGGCACTTTCTTTGTATATGGATTTGGGATAATTACAAGATCTCTATAAGGTGTTCCTCGTTTTCCTAGATCAGGATTTCTACATCTCTTCCTGGACGATACCTTTCTGCTAGAGATAGGTCATTGAAGCTGAAAATTGTTTACATTATGATGTAGCAGAAGGGTCTGCAGATGTTTATGAAGCCACTCTACTTATATCGTCGCTTGTAATACTTTGCAACGAACGCAACGCTTTGACGGCCTGTAGACATGCCTCAGCTAAACTCTCCACCATCTTGCTCAATCAGATAAGTACATTAAATTCAAGTAACATCACGCGATGTATTCTTGTGAGGTACATATTTGTAAATAGTGATCAGAATATTTGTAAATGCGATCAGAATACTGGTAACTGCGATCAGAATAATTGGAAGTTTGAATAGGGAATATTAGGAAATTTTAAACGGAATATTTGGAAATAGCGATCAGAAAATTTGTGAATAGTGATCAGAATATTTGTAAATAGTGATCAGAATATTTGTAAATGCAATCGGAATGTATGAAATAAAGTGTAAATATATGTACGTTGAACTTAAAAAATGTAAATTGTTTGGAATATTTGTAATTATGCGTGGACGTATCGCTAAAAGGGTAATGAAGACATGTTTGGCACGTCATACACTTACATCAAATGTTACAGACACGAGTTGCCCTTCTATGTATTATTTATTCTACGTCTGAGCTCGTGCTTCCGCTTCACGTTGAAATCTTTCTTGTACTTTGCTTTCCTGTTTATTTTCTTTGAAGTGCAACAGTTGCCCACTCAATTGATCTAGCGCAGCTTCATATTCGCTTATTTTCTCTTTACATCCACTCGTCGATTCATCTGCGCATTCGTCAAAATTGCCTGCATCAATTTTCAGGCACTATATCTCCTCAATTAAGCTATAAACTTCGTTTACTTTAATGTTGTTTGTTGTCGTATCAACGCTTCTTTCGAATGTCCGTTTATAATACCGACTGTAGCTCGAATAAAATAAGCTAATTTCTGCAATACGGATTTTAAGGTCGCTACTTTCGTCACAGTTTCCTTCGCTAAAGTCGATAGATGTTCCTCGTGTGTGTCTATATCTCTTCGTTGGCTTGGTTGTCTCCTCTCCATATTAAACACGCTATCTTCATATTATTGTTGAAATACATCCTCAAACCCCGACTGTTTGATTTCTCTGAATTACTCAATTCGCAAATATAAACAATCCCTTCGGAGGTGTACGGTGGCCCACAAGTGTCATGGCAAAAGTTTAAGGAAACAACAACAACATCAAATCAAAGACAGTAACAAAACACTTAAAAAACAGCAAACTTTTTTTTATACACATCAAATTTTCTGAATTGATGATAAATAAAAGACACAAATAAAACGGCAAAATAAAAGGCCATGGCAAAATAAAATCCAGTGACAAAATAGAATCCCACGGCAAATTGAATGTTCGCGACAACTTCTGTGAATTTGGCACCATTATCAACTTCACAATCATTAGGAAGTTCATCACCACATTTGAACCAGGGTTGCCAGTTTGGCCTTTTATCGGCCAAATAACTGAAATTTGGCCTTTTTGAAACCTGTTTGGCCGGGAAAACTAAAGCTAGCTGGCCAAATCGATTTTGGCCTATTTTGGCCTTTTCAAATTTTGATGTCATGAAATTTTATTATTAATTATATTACTCGTAATTGACTGATAATGACGTATCAGATGAGTACTGTTGTGGTTGTACCCAGTACTTATGCTCTTCCTCGGCCTGATTTGTTATTCAATATTCAGCTCTGTTGCATTTTCACATGAAAATATGTTTAATTGTTGCATGATACACTCATAGTTTTCTAATTAATGTTTAATGTCATTCTTGCAAAATAACTTGTTTCCTATTTCACGAAACACGCCTAATTCTCAATCGGTAGTTCTGCTGTTCAATAGTTCAATGTTCGATTCTAGTTAATGGCGTATCACGTGCTAATTCACGTGCAGTATTCGTGAAACATATCAATATATCATATTTCATGTCCTATTTGTGCTTTGTTTGTATAACAAACATTTACTTAGTATTAACAGATGTGAAAATCAGGCTGTGATTAAAGGTTTAGAGTTGTTTGTTTGGGAACGTTCTTTTTTTCGTTATAAAATTTTCAAAATGCCAAAATGGAAATCAAGTTACGATAGCGGCCGCAAGTACAATTCCAATTGGGAAAAAGATTTTAGCTGGGTATCTGAAGCACCTAATAATAAGGACAAAGCATATTGTAAACTTTGCTGTCGCTTGTTACAGGCTAAGCGAGATGCTCTGGCGACCCACGAAAAAAGTGATATTCATCGCTCTTTTGTATCTAGAAGTTCTTTTTCACGGCCGTTGACAACTTTCTTTCCATCAACCAGTTCAACATCAAAACGTGCCTAACAGGAGTCCGAGATTATGATCGCTGTTCAGACAGCTTGCCATGGATCCATCCGGACAGATCATTTTGGTGAGATATTGGCAAAATATGGCAAAAAAGTGATTTGGAACATATTAGATTGCACCGCACCAAATGCACGAAGATCATCACCGAAGTCGTAGGTCCAGCTTTAAAGGAAGATCTCAAAAAAGATGTTGAAGGAAAGCATTTTTCTTTAATTGTGGACGAAGCGACGGATATATCAGTCGCTAAGGATCTGGCAATTATTATTCATTACTTCAGTGATAAACAGTGCAAAGTAACTGACTGCTTACTTGAAATTGTTCCAATGTCTTTTGCAACTGGGGAGCTGATTTTTAATGCCATGAAGAAAACACTGGACTGGTACTGTTTATATTTGAAGAATTGTGTGGGATTTGGATGCGATGGTGCCAGTGTAATGGTTGGGCAGCATAACTCAGTGTGGTCCAGAATCAAACAAATTAACCCAAGTTGTATACTTATGAAGTGCATTTGCCATTCGTTGGCCTTATGTGTTCAGCATGGTTTCAACAAGCTGCCCAGTAACCTTTCATATCTTTTAGAGGAAATTCCTGCTTGGTTTTCGCAGAGCACAATTCGCCGTGATGAGTATAAAGCGTTGCACAATGAATTGAATGATAGCACAGGATTTATCGGTTTTTCAGGAACTACGATGCCATTTGTGAAGTTCTGTAGTACGCGTTAGCTTTCAAGAGGCAAAGTTATTTCAGCAATTTACAAGAATTGGGACGTTCTGCAAAAATATTATGAAAACATCACCACTGAGAGTCAAAAGTTGATGCCATCCCAAAGGTACAAGGCAAGAGAGCTCCTCCGCATGGTACAAGATAATGTTAACCACTTGTATCTTACATTTGCGCTTCCAGTGCTTATTGAGTTTGAACGAATAAATGCACTTTTCCAGTCGAGCAAGTCCAGTCCTGACAAAGTGTTGAGAGAGCTTGATCTTCACCATCGCACAATGAAATCAAGAGTGTATGATAACCGCGGTAATAAGAAAACTCTGCACCAAATTGGTTTTGGAAGTAAATTTATGGCCGAGTTCAATCCTCTGCAAAAGAACGACAGCAACAACGAGAACACCCTGCTGGCTGTAAAACAACGCTGTCTCAAAATGCTGATGACTTGTATTTCTCAGGTAGAGGCACGTCTTCCTGATCAAAAAAATGTGTTTTCAGAGCTTGTTGCACTCACCCCAGATGTAGTTCCCAACCAAGTTCGACGAGTGGATTTTGGAAAGCTACCGTACCAGCACCTGATGGGAGAGGACAGTGACAAAATTGAAGAATACCGGCAAATGATTCACATTAACTGGAAGGAACAGCTATCTGGGGGTATCATTCCAACTGATACCGAATCTTTTTGGCCGACAAATGCAAAGATCTGATCTTGAAGATGCAAAGTTTGCAACTTTAGCAAACTATGGACTGTCTTGTTTGTCAGTGCCAATTAGTAATGCTATCGTTGAGCGTTTATTTAGTACTGTGACATTTATAGAGAATAAGCTTCGCAACCGAATGTCTTCTAAGACGCTGGATGCGTTGACACGAATCGAACAACTCTCTATTTCCAGTCCAAATGTTGCAAAGAATTCATAGTGACAGAAAGAATGTTTCAGCTGTTCACAACGGAAAACATGTACCAGCTTGATGAAGAACGAAACCAAAACACAAACCGAGAGGGCAAAGAAGAGCAGGAGGTTGACTGTGAACTGTTACCATTGTTTGATGATGTATGAATTTTATAACTTTTCAACATTCCAAGATTTGCAAGTCATTATCAACAAAAATGTAAACTGACTTATTAGACAAAAATATTAGTTAATCTTTTTTGTTATATCTTTTTAATGATATTCATACTTTCATCTTTTATGTTTTTGTTTAACTGTTTGGAACGGTTGTTGAAATATAGGCTGAACTGACTTAATAGTCACTTTACAAATCATTGTTTTCAATATGCATTGTACATAATTTCCAAGGTTTTGTCATGAAATACAACACAGTACTCAAGCACGCATATGTTTTGAAATGGTTTCGGTATATTTAAAAACTAAACATATATAGTTCAGTGGCAATGAGCAATTTGGCCGTACTGATCAATGGTGGCAAAACATGCTGTATGGTATAGCCCCCCAGGAGACATGGAAAAAGAACTTTTGAATGTCCAAGGAAGCCTTTACAGAACTAACTGAAGTGTTGCATCAATCAATCGCTCCAAATCTAAATGGTCCAAACAAAAGGGCTATAAGCCGAAAAGAAATTAGCGTTACGTTATACTTCTTGAAAGACAGCGGTTCTCTATGTATGACGGCGAATGCTTTTGGTATTGGAATAAATACAACATCAAACATAGTATTTGAAACATGCAAAGCTATTGTAACATTGCTAGGCCCTAGTTATGTATATCTTCCAAAAAACATAGATGAGATGAGAATGAAAGTAGCAGAGTTTGAGTGTAAATTTGGCATGCAACAAGCATTTGGTTGCATTGATGGCACACACATACCAATCATTTGCCCATCAAAAAATCCACAAGACTATTATAATAACAAATGTTTTCATTCTTTGAACGTCCAAGCAGTATGTGACTACAGAGGAACATTCATGGATGTTGAATGCCGCTGGCCAGGCAGTGTTCATGATGCCAAAGTGTTTGCCAATTCATCAATAAATGACAAACTGCGAAAAGGAAAATTGCCAGCAGTCTTTCAATCAGTTTTGCAAGGGTATGAGAAAGTTCCAAATTATCTAATTGGTGACCCACCCTACCCACTAACCCCCTTTTCTATGAAGGAATATGATTCATGTGAAAATAATGAGCAAGTCATTTTCAACAATTTGTTAAGATCAGCTAGGAATCCTATTGAATGTGCTTTTGGCCGCCTGAAAGCACGATGGGCAGTTTTAACAAAACGGTTGACCTTAAATTAGAAAAGGTACCAATAATAGTTTATGCTTGCTTTGTGTTGCATAACTATTGCGAGAAACACTCAGCTTATATAAATGAGAACCTAGTAACCATGCAAATTGATCAAGCAAAAAGAAATGAAGAAGAAAATATCAACATCCCAGACCCAGTGTATTCTTGCAATAATGGAGAAGGTGAAATTGTCAGACGTTTATTGACTAATTATATACATGTCATTCTACCTGGCACAAAAGTCTGACATTTAAAAAACAGAAAAAAAACTTTATGTTTAATACCAGACCTGTAAAATATTAAATAAGTGCATATTAATTATTAAAACCTGTGTTGTTCATTTGAATTTGTGGATTTCCTTCTCCATTTTGTGTCTCGTTGTTTAGTAGAAATACAGGTTGGGGAATCCCCATTGTTTGGTACATACTTTGGTTTTGGTAAAATATGTTGTGATTAACACCACCAGGCTGTTGTTGTGGCACATACTGCTGTGTACCATTGCTTGTGCTAACATTTCAACTGACTGAGATATACTCTTGCCAAGTTGCAACATCATAGAGCTTATTCCTTCCAAAGCATTGGCAAAGATTCAGTGGAGCTCCATACTAGCTGCCAGATCTTTATGGAATTTCATATCTTCTCTGGCCTCATCTAATAACATCTTGTCACATTGGGCTGCAGACAATGTCTTTTCAAGATGTTTCCGCTTGTTGTCGATTAATTTTGGAACATGACTCTCTGCTTTTCTTTTCAAAATATTTCGGGGTTCTTTGTCTCCGTTATTTTCATTTTCTAAGCAAACATCTTGGGTAGACGGACTGGTTAAATTCTCCAGTGGTTCTGACAAGGTAACATTTTTTGATGTTTCCTCCTCAATAAAACTTTCGGCATCGATACCAAAAGGAAGAGGTTCTGTGGAGGGATATCCTCCCCAAATACGAACCAATTCATTGTAAAACTCAAATACAATTTTTCCGCTTCCACTCTTCGTGCCAGCAGTTACAGCTTTTGCAAAGTTTTGTCGAATTTCTTTAACTTTCTCTTGAATCCTTTGATGACTCTTTTGTATTTGAGAATTCTCCTTCTTTTGCATCGCTAAGAACTCCTTTTTATTCTTTTCATTGTGTTCAGATGGATTAATTGGAGAGGTTAAAGACACTGGACCAAACAACGAAATGTCTTCGACCTTGTACAATTTAGCCATTTCTTTCCTTAATTCTTTATATTGAGCCGGTCTGTCCGCGTCCAAATCAATCGCTTGATATTCCATCTGCGATTTGTAAGCAGTTAAGCATGTTATCAAGTTGTGAATCATTTCAGAATTCCAACGAAATGCTCTTTTCTTCGTCTGTTTACTGACAGCAAGCTCACTATTTTCCGCCATTTTTGTTTATGGGACTCGTGTCACATGTGTTCCAAAGTGTTGTTTTTATCCCGCTCACTGGGCTACACTAACTAATTTGTGTTCATATGGTATATTTTCATCCCACTTGACAGAGATCCTGGCTTCCTCATACCGAGATCTCACCTAATCGGGCTGGCTCACTTTCCATATGAACACAAGATGCAAAACCTATAAAATACTCTACAAGGTCGGATCTCGCTGCATCGTCATTATCCGGCTAGGTGGGCTATCCCACCCCATATGAACAGGCCCTAAGTTGTCATTTTAAATGATAAATTTTAGTCAAATGTAGTGATGATTGTTGTGCCCAATGTGAATTGTAAATGTTGTGCCAGGTGCCAAAATCATAGTAACTCATCAAGTAATTCATCGTGAATGTTGGCAAACGCCGCAGTAGAATATAAAGAAATAAAATTAAGCCACTTCTTTTGACTTGGAAAATGGAAGACAACAAAATAATGTAAGTGTAAAGCCTCATTTTGTGAAATATAATTACGTGATGTTGCTTTTCAGATTATGGCTTTCGTTTGTATTGTGTGTTTTGGTACGACCTGTGACTTTGCAATAAGGAGAGTATGTTTCATGTTCCAGTATAAAACACCACCATTGTATGACAAGTAACAACCATAGTTCTCAATTTTTTACTCATGCTGATACACTGGTGTTGCAACCTTTTAAAGCAAGGATACACTATGGCATACATACAGATAGCTTCTAAATAAAAGTTCTGACAACAGCAGATTATATTATTACATAGGCACCATTATATGAGATGACATTACACAAAATGTGGAAAAAATAGAAAAAAATACATTAATTATAAAAATAAAAATATTAATTTCCACCACAGGTTAAGCGGCAGGATGAATTTGTTTAGAAACCACTTGTCTAAGCTCCATATTCAACTCGAATGTAGAGCCAGCTCCATGTTCACGGATGTGGAGCCACCAATATGGAGCTGAATGGCTTGTCATCTACACCAGTAATAAACTTACACTCTAAACATTATTTAATTGTAATTTTATGAATTTATATGTCGCTCTATACAGGTTATTGAGCACTATTTGTGCTTCCAGCAGCTTCCTCGCCATCATTGACACTATTAAACTAAGACCACACGAAACCATGATATCCCAGGGGAGGATCCAGCTCCTGAGCTGACCACGTCACTGGGTCATTGCGAGCATCAAAGATGCAAGCTGTGACTGGAGGGTCTGGAAGCATGCTCCCCTGTTTTAGTCATTTTTGAAATTTTGACCATCAGAAAAGTGATTTTCAGTGTTTCCAAAGTGGAAATAAAAAACCTATGAAACAATCCTATTAAGCAAAATCACTCAATTCTCACAAGTATCTATTTTTATTATGAAATACGAAAAAAATTACTTACTACGTCGTATTTGACACTTATTAGAGGAATTTAGCATTGTTTGCACAACTTGCAAAAACTTTTACATTGCTTAATGTCGTGGGTGATGAAATGACAATTGTTATTTCTTCCAATGAAAAGAGAAAAAGGACACTAAAGAAAAAAGTACCTTTTTTGTTTGTACATAATAAGGGTTGTATACACGAAAAACTTGAATAAAAGTATTTTCTTCGAAAACCAAACAACTTTAAATGAGCAATCTTCACAGGTGTTTTTTTCATCTAATTCTAGTAGCAGATTTATGGGGAAAGGGAAAATATGATTTTATAGTGAAGTCAGTGACTGTAGTTAAAGGGCACATGCATACCATACAGCATACTCATATCAGAATTTGCAATTTATTGACTTACAACTGTTTCTTCAATGATTACTCAGCCATTCGCAAATTGCAATACTTCTGCTAAACATAGAATATTAGGGGAAAGGATAACATACAACACATCTATTTTGAAAAAAGTAATAGCACCCATTTTCAAATATTCATTGACTACTTGGTTAGCAGGAATATAGTGCTCCATTTTCAACACTTTTTGGATAGTGTACTACTTTAAAGAAATGGTGGACTAGTTTAAAGAAGAACATGATAAATACCTAATTGACAATTACTTTGAAGATTTAAAGATGGTATATATAAAGACAAAGTGGATATTAGAAATACATAGTTTGCAGAAAAACTGATGAATAGCGTGTTTTCAGGGCTGCCAAGTTGGCAAAAATCCATATAGTAATAAGTATTCCTACTTGATTGATTTCACTCAATATTTAATGTCGAAACTTTGATGTAACTGAACAAGTTGGCCTAATTGATGTCACATGAGAACACAGCATTCATATATGAGTCAGTAACACATGACACAAGCACAAACTGTATAAATAAACACACACTAATATTGAGCATTTATTGGCAGACTTTTTATTTCTAAAAGAAAAGATCACCTTGAAAACACATTGCACATAGAGTAGCTGTGTATACATCATTCAAATTTTGCCTGACCAAGATACTAAGAAAAACATAATTGAGGTAGCATATTGAAAAAGTCTGAGATGTCATTACTTACTCTGGCTCTTAGAAAATTGTAGCTTAGAAGGCTCCCACACAATAACTTCTAGTTTAGTTAACACAACCATCAACACGATTCCTTCTTTAATTGTTTGACAAATAATAGCACTTGACAAATACTCGCACGGCTCGCAGTTGTCGAAGCAATTTTAACTCTCTAGCAATATTCTTCGAGTTAAAATGCTCCAAAAGTTGGAAGACTTTTGATAAGCCATTAACCTTACTGGAACATGTTCACCACATCTCTCCTGAAAATAACTCGAAAATTGCATTTTCAAATACATACAAACGCGGGGTGAATTTCTTACATCATCGTGCGCCAAATGCATCTCGCTTTGTATATAGCCTTCACAATAGTTTCGTAGTTCATTAATGTCTGTTGAAACAACATCAATACCATCATTAATATGATCAAATATTCCTTTCATTTGAAGAAAAACACAATTGTGATTATCAATTGTGATTATGGTTCGTGCCACTTACTTCGTGAAACGTCGTCATTACAAACATATAAAAATATATATATTACGAAAGCTACGCGATGACTACTTAAATATAGCAAAGAAATGTTCACCATGTGATCATCTTTCTAAAGGCACTGATACGGAATGCCAGAGCTGTCTTGTGCCATGATATTTTGTTACGTCTTGTTAATTTATCATTATATGTGGTCCATCCGTCATTAAATGCAGTAATATTTTCACATATATGTGGTTCATCCATCATTATTTGCAGTGATATTTTCGTTGTATGCATTCCACCTGTCATTATATGCGGTCCATTCCTCATTATATGCAGTAATGTTTTTGTTATACAACAACAACAACAGCTTGAGAAGCATTGTAAATTGTGCATATTTGATGCACTGCATTTATTTATTATTGGGGTCATATTTTCTTGTCACAAGGAAAGGCAAATTACAACAAAATCCATTAGGGAAAAATTGTATCCATCTGAAGAAGATTTGCAGTTCTTTGCCAAATTTCTTATTTAATGAAAAATGAAAGAGTTGACATTTGTAGAAATATGTTGAGATTCAAAAAAAGTCAAAAATTGCTATAAATGAACTTTACAAGGAAACTATTTATTATAAATAGCATTAAATAACATATAACATATAAATAGCATTATATATAATTGTTATTAAAAATGAGAACTTTCATTGTGAAGTTTTTTAAATAAATTGTTGGAATCATTGAAACACTAAATGCATCAGAAGAGTTATAATTGCTGTTTAGATATCTTTGGTTGAATTTAGAGGTCACATTCCAAGAAATTTGTATCATTAAAATAAGCTTTAAACAAATCACAATATTTTTTCTAAATATTTTGTCATTTGGATAGTCCAAAGGATTTGTTCCACATATCTTTGACACCTTTAAGCTGTTTAAATTTTTTTTAAAACTAATTGCACACGATTCTCCAAAAATACTCATCAAAATGGCAATTAACATACATTCAATGTTTTTGTTGTTTTCTGCAGAACTAATGTTGCTTTTTTATATTGGTGAAAATTGTTTGCTCTTTGATGTTACTAGCAGCAAGCACAATCTGGACAAGTCCATGTTATTTTGGCATTTGCATACACAGATTGCTGTGTTCAGATATAGAGCTTTTTTTGTAACAACAACTGTTCAGAACTGTTTTGAATTAAAGACAAAACAAGTGCTAGGTAAAAATAAGGCAGGTTTGTAAAAAATTGAACAACTGCCTCTCCTGTATCATTTTTATCTTGGTCAGCAAATACTCCATCACATACAAATGTCTTTTAAAACTACAAACAACTAAGTCACTATTTTTTGCTGTTTTAAACAGTTGCTGCTGTACCTGTTATTAGTACTGGTGATCTTTCTTCTTTGCCATGTTTCATCCAAACAAGACCCTGGCTTGCATAAATAATCTTCAAAATCCATGTAATTTAAACAGTAGGGGCTTCTGATTTTACTGCACCCCTTTACCAGTCACATTCAGAAAGGAAATCTGGAGTGGCATGTAACCGGAGATACTGCTGATTTACCAACAGCCCACACTCTTTAAATTTAAAGTTCTTTTGGTTTTTTATTGCAAATTCATATGCCTTAAGGAGTACTATTCCATGCTTACAACCATGTTCTGTAGCTGCAAAGCTAAATTTAAACATGTCAGGATAACATTATTTTAATAAGTAAATGCTTTTATTGAGGTTGGATATTTTTTACTGGACTGTCATACTGCAACTACTTCAATTTTCAATTTCAAACAAGTTGTTCAATGAGATGTTTTCGTTGCCCTGCAATACCTTTGTAATTTCAGATAGAACTCTGAGCACATCTGAATCACAGACATTGAGTTCTGATTGTAGTCTTTAACCCATCTGATTGCACTATATCCCAAATTTGTTCTTCAATTGGTGTCACCAAATTACATGCTTTTATTGGGCAAATTTTCCATAGGAACTTTGCAGTATTGTGGTGAGTATCAAAACTTCACACAAGTCAATCAGTCATAGTGTAAACTTTCCGGGGGTATCTAGCAACAATGCTCATTTTATGTTTAATGATTTTTTAGACATTTATCATCAGTTTTTCAGCAATTATTAAAAGAGCATTTTAACACCAACTTTAACTCACATAACTAAGACATTTATTTAATTGTTTCATTCTAAACTAAAAATTTACATATACATGTAAATCATTTTAATGCATTATAAATATATGAGGTGCCAAGCCGGACAAATATGTCTATCAGAAAATATATGTGCTGAACTTCAAATTTGCATTTTCTGAATCGAATAAATCCGTTCTCAACTCAAAATATATTTGATAAACTTAAAAAATATATGCCAAAATTAAAAAATATTTGCCAAACTTGAAAAATTTATGCTAAACTTGAAAAACTTATGCTAAACTTAAAAAATATATGCTAAACTTAAAAAATATATGCTCTCCGAAAATAATATGTTCTAATTATGATGCTTTGCGGCCTTGTTTTTATCACATGGGCGGTAGCGTGAGTGGCCGCCATTTGCAAGTTAAAATAGATTCTCGAATCTCGATTGTTGAAGATGCTGAATCAAAATGAACTTCAGTTTTACTTGAATAACGCGTTACAAAGAATTAGTCAGTTGGAAAGTTCAAATATACTCTAATAGTCCGCTTGGTTCGACGAACTACTCCAGCGGAAACAACTGCTCGACCGGCTCGACTTTAACGGAAGAACTGCGAAGGAGTTTTCCAAGCTTAGCAAATCACGCAGCAATAAGGTCAACATCAACCCAAATGCCATTGAGTCGTGATTCAACGTCGCATCTTTCTGGCAACAAGAAAAAACGAAAGCGCACATCGACGACCTCGAAATCAACCTCGAAACCCAAAGCAGTACATAAAGACCTGGTGTTGGTTCCGAACCAACTCAAACTTCAGTTCCTACTCATTCTTCTCGTGTTTCGTTGGAAAGTGACGGTTTTGTTATTCACAGCTTTCCTTTGTAAGAGAATGGGACGATATTAATTTAAAAGAAGAAATAGAAAACATTTTTCCGCAGATCCAAAATTGTGGTTATGAGTATGTGAAGGTACCATAAACCATATATACTAATATATGTACTAGCATAAGCTTAAACATCTTGTCCAGGATGTATTGGTGGGTGCGTAGTGAGGGGAGTTAACAAACAGCACACAAATGAATTAGTATTATAAGCCATTTGCTCCTACTTTTCTGGAAATACCTTTTGCCTTATAGTTTCTGTATGAATATTATAATATCTGGATTTAAGACGCCGTTTATTTAATCAGTGATAAATGTTTTGTTTATAAATATGGAATTTGTTAATGCATATATACATTATTTCCTTGTCTTTTTTACTATAGGCCTCATATGGAAAACTTGTTTTACCAAATTTAGCCCCTGGGGTGACTATGAACTGCAACAGGCTCATGAAGTTGTCAGGCAAAGGTGCTGTTTACGTACGCTCCAATGAAAAACTTAGTGCTTGTAGTGAGAGTGACAATTCTGCTGATGATGAATTGCTGAAACCAGCATTAATTAAGCAATAACCAGAAGTCCTGGAAATTCAGTCTGAGTCAGACATTAGGTAACTGGAGTTCAGCCATAAATTAACAATTTTGTAACACATATAAAATGAGGTTGTGCTTAACATGCAGCCTTTTTGTATATGCATATAGGGATAAGGTTTTGTGAATTTTTGTCGGAGTCAGTGTGCCAATATGTAAATATCATACACAAATCACCATACCAAAACAGGAAAGTACTTCCATTCAATATCAATAAAGACTGTGGAAAATATGAATGTATTAATATCATATTGCCAAACGTATGACTTAAGAAAATAACTAAATCCTGCAAGCCATGAAAGTAGACCTAGCTAAATTAAACTATTTTTTCATTTGTACCAACTCCTGTTGGTTTAGCCAAAACAGTTAATAAATGTGCTTATAGTTTGAAAGTCAGATGTTTAAATAAATACTTAAGTTACTAGAATGTGAGTGACTCTAATTATTTACCAATCTTAATACCAAACTCTTAATTTATTGCTCAAAGTTTTAGAGTCACCAATGCAAGAGCATCAATTGCAAGTTTCTGAGATCCCAGTTCCTGCTAGAGTACCTAATGCATTTGAGGAACAATCAAATGGTAACCTAACAATATCAAGCTACATTTTACTTTGTTACTATAATTAGATATGCCCCCCCAAAAAAATCATTCATAGAATGAAATGGTAGGTTCACAAGTGTTTTAATCATACTAATAGTCTTTAACTTTTAGAGCCAGTATATGTAGAACAATCTACTGGTGTTCCACAACTGCCACTGTCTCAATCTTCTTCCTTACCTGAACCAAGTCATGGGGATGGTAAGTCAATAAAATTAAGATAACGCATTAAAAACCAAGCAAAAATGTCTTATTCATTTGAGCGCTTCCGGTTCCATTAAAATCAAAAAGGTTCAGGTTTGTTTCATTTTAAGAATGCTTTTATAGCATTTTACAAAGTATGTCAAGTTAGTTAAAATGTCAAAAGTTAGTCATAATTCAGGTAATATTCTTCCTTAAAAGTGACTGTATATGTTAAATGAAAATATAACAACAGACAGAAAAACTATTCAAAACTCCCTAAAAATTTCAAAATAAATAGAAAGAAACATGATGCACATTTTCTGAATATAATTCCTTTTTTCTCCAACTTAGTGTACCCTTTGACAGATGAACACTTGGAAAGTTGTGATGTGAGAGCTGTTACAGTACACAGGACAAACATTAAAATGACCTGATAGTACTTTTTCAAGACCCAAACATTTTGAGCAGTGTTTTAACGTTCACTGTCATTGGTTTTAACGGTTTGCCGAAAAGGGTGAAGGAGTGGGTGTAGCCAGGAGGTCCTACGAGCTTTTGGCAACAATTTTTTTATTCATTGGCAATTGTGTGCTGAAAAAAGTGCCTTCAATCAGGCATGACCATCAAAAAATGCAATGGGTTGCAATTGTCAAAATTTTTATTTATGGCTACATAAGGGAAAAATATTTCCCAATTTCATTTTCCGCAGCATTTAAAGCTACATGTCTTTTTTGAGGAAGAAAGTTTAAAGTGTGATGACTTGATACAATCCTTCAGAATGTACATCTGTGATGATGAACGTGAGATCTTCGATAAGTGTATGAAGAAGGAGTTATCTCCTAATGATGATGAAGTCCTAGAACTATTGAGTTCGTACAAGTGTTTCCGCCGCATGCCGAGTGAAGAAAAAGTGATGTCCACATTTTGTGAGATTGCACATCAAGAACTTGTGCAGAAGCCTAAATATGTAGTTCACTGTTGGATGCCTTATATCCATAAATTGAAGTCATTTCCTCCTTTCCAGTCCATCGAAGAGATTAGAAAACTGTATCATGAAAAGAAACCAACCACACCTAAGGTTATAGAACTACTCAAATGCGAACCAAATAATGATGCTGAAAACCAATGTATGGCTTTTTCAAAGCAGTACATTAAGTCTTTAAGGGATCAGTCTTTAACACCATTTCTTCAGTTCACTACAGGTAGCGACATTATTGTAACTGGACAGATCAAAGTAGAATTTGTGGTTACCCAGGGTTTTGCTAGGCGGCCAATTTCGCATACATGTGCACCATTGTTAGAGCTCCCAAGTACATACCAATGTTACAACGAGTTAGCCGAAGAGTTCAGCAATATCGTAGCTGATAAATTGTCTTGGTCATTTCACATTGCTTAGACAACTAAACAATTATGTTAAGGTTAGGTTAATATTTCGTTAAGTATGGGAGACACCAACTAGTTCCAACCTATTTGTGATTCCAATTTTGAATTAGCGTTGTTTTTTCTACAGAATATATTGTTTAATAACGAAAATGTTATGTTAATGAACGTGATTTTTATATTGAAAAAAAATTAGGAGAACTGTACATTCTATTATTGATTGTTGTTTCGCTCATCAACTGTAAACACTCTCTAAACACATTAACACCATGATTTCCATCATCATTTAGGGGATCAATTGTTTTGTGTACCAAAATTGTTTGCTCTTCATTGACATTTACTTGTGGCACAGAAACATTATAGTCGTCATCACTGATTAAGAGAGTTTCACTTTCGTCTAAATCCATGCCGGCACCAAGTTCGTCTTGGTCACTCTCTTCTACCAGTATATTTTCATTGCAATTTGACATAGATCCACTGATAAATAGTTGTTCAGGGCTCAGATTCTCAGCAGTATTCAAGGGGTGGCTATTCCATTGCCACTTAAATTCGTTAAGAGATCTTTGAATTCTTGGGATGTAAACGTAATGTAGTGCGAATAGGTGATGTTCATTAAGACAATCAAGCAAACCATCTTCTTCCATGTTAGTAAATAGCCAGACATAATGAGAAAGTACGCCACAATAAATGTCTCTATGGAGACGCTCGACTCTAATGTTATGCACCGATTTACCCGTTATAATACTTCCCCTCCCACAACCCCTGTTGGTCAGCATAAAGCGTGCAACGCCTACATTACTACTAAGCCATGGTCTGATCTGACTCTTGATGGCAAACCAAACTCTTTGACTCCCTGTGTAAAAAAAAATCCAGCACAGATGATGAGCGATTATTATTGGCAAATTGCAGGTATATAATAAGTCAGCTGTAACCATCAATACATGCGTGAATAACTATCCACCAACGTATTAGCTTGTGGTTGCCATCAATGTGCCAAAGAGCATTAGGATGCGGAACATAATACTTACGTCGGTAGACTGCTGAGTTCCATCTAAGAGCTGTTCCAACTGGATCAATTTTTCTTAAACACTCTCTCTCACCCTTTGCCTCTGAACATGAATCCCTCTAGCCCTTAGCGCACCTACCATCCTACTCTGACCAATATTTGGGGTAACTTTCCTTATGTCTTCCATAGCTTCGGTAAGCTCATTCTTTGATATATGAGAAAACTGGTCATTGATGTCTAATTCGTTTTTTCTCCTCCATTATGTTTGCGTAGACACATGAAGTAATTTGGCAATGTTAACCCACGAAAAGTGCTTGCTTCGAAAAAATTCCAGTTGATTTTTTGTGATGTGGTATTTTGGTCGACCCCGCCCGTGTGTTGGATTAATTGGACACCTGTAACAATTTTCATCATTGATTGATTGGAGCCTTTCCATTTCAAGACAAAGTGCTCTTTGAATTGACAATAAACTGTTTAAGACATTTGCAAGCAAATCGAATGTTTCTTGATCAGTGTTTGCGTTGTTTAGTAGAGTTATGAAAAAAGAACACGTACAATCCATTCGATTATTTAAGATTTCAAGATTATCTAGTCTATCTAAGGGAACCTGGACAATGGTATCGGTCAAAAAAGACACTGTACCAGTTATAACTGATTTCGCAGACTCTAAAGACGACGCCCAATCAACGTTGATGATGCCCCCACCTTGTCTGCGATAAAGAGGCATACTTAATGTTTAATTTTCCCTATAAAATAGTCCATTTGTCAGTTGAATAGATTACTAACGTCGAGCTCAACCCAGTTCCTAGCCTCTCTACTTCGACTTTGCGTCGAGGCGCTGTTTCTGCTGGAGTTGTTCGTCGAACCAAGCAGACTATTAAGGCCAATTTCCATTACAATCGCTTTGCCCGCGCGGGCGAAGCGAACATTTTTGAGCATGCGCTGTGTGAATATTGTCGACAGCGCGCGTCTTCGCCTGAACACTGGTGTGCACGCTTTGAAAGTTAAAAATTTTTTACTTTCTTGGCGAAGTCGCGCGTCCAAAGATACACGTGATTGGTATTAACCAATCACACCGCATACTACAAAAGCAATCAATGCAATGTATGATAAACATGGCGGAGTTTAACAATTCATCTTTTATACCACTGGAAGCACAAAATTTGCTGGAATCCCAACAGCTTGATTTGGAAGAAAAGGACGATGATGAACAACTAGACGAACATTTGGTGGAAGAAGTTCACAGATACCGAATACTGTGGGACACATCATCAAGAGGGTATAAAGACACAGTAAAAAAGAACCAAGCCTGGAAAGAAATATCTCTCAAATTAAACAGGAATGGTGTGTATGACTTTGTTAATCCTTCATAATTGGTAAATAACTAAATATAGATGCAGATTAATGATTTAACACTCCACAAGATATGTTTCACAAACTTGTGAATAGGTTTTTGAGTACTTGGCGTCTTTCAGTGATTACATGAAGCATGCATTAACTTCTGTGTTAAAAGTTTGAGTTTATGTTTGTTGATTTTGCATAATATTACCAGCTGGTATAAAATGACTAAAAGCCAGGAGTTAATAAATACAAATGCACTCCTTACTTTTAGCTGATATTTTGAAGCGCAGATGGAAGAACTTACGAGATGGTATGATGAGATGTCTGAAGAAAATAAAAGATGCTGAAAAATCAGGGGCAGGTGCTTCTAAAACACCATCATGCAAGCTGTTTGAGAATCTACTTTTCCTTAAAGACTTTGTTTCTAATCGAGAAACAACTAGCAATATTACTCTATCTAATGAAATTATTAATACTGATTCTGGAAGTATAAGTGATGACAGCTTTGCACCTTCACCTCCACTACTTGCTTGGGATCAACACCTGATATGTCGACTTATAAAACTCGTTGTAACAAAAGGAAAGCTCATGCTGGTCCAGATATACTGACCAACCAAACACCAAAGCGTACAACAAAGAGATCTGACCGTCAAGATAAAATAGACTTGCTTCTTGTCAATGCATTATCTCAGTCAGATGAACAGAAACAACAAACACAAGACTGGAGAAGTAGCAATCATTTGTTCTGCAACAGTATTGTTGAAATATTGGAGAAACTACCACCCAAGAAAAATAGGATGGCCAGGGTAGAAATACAACAAGTGTTAA